CTCAAAATAAACCATCTTCCTGACCCTACCAAGTCCTTCCAAATTAACAAAGCACTTCAAGGCTTAAAGCGCAACAACAGAGTTGTTCCAGACAGCCGCCTCCCAATAACCCTACCAATTTTGGAAAAGCTTGTTATATCACTACAGTCAGTGTGTTGCTCCACTTACGAGGTCAAACTGTTCACATGTGCTTTTTCATTAGCATACTTTGCATTACTTCGCGTAGGGGAATTCACTTTAGTCAACTCAAACACACCGAATTCATCCCATTGCATACAACTCAAACACATTCAAGCACATCCACACAAGCCCTATTTAAGGTTAACCATACCACACTCCAAAACTGACCAGGTGGGTAAGAATACCACCTTTATTATCCATAGCCAGCCACTTGCTACCCTGTGCCCAGTTAAAGCTACCTTGGATTTTATCGAGTGTAGGCCCCATACCCCTGTTAACCACAGTTTTCTAATTCATCTTAATACAAAACCATTGATGAGATACCAATTCAACGCAGTCCTTCAAAAGGCTATTGAAAACATAATACCAACACCAGGCCATTTTGGCACACACAGCTTTCGAATTGGGAGGGCAACAGACCTTGCATTACAGGGCACATCCGATTCTGAAATTCAGAAGTTTGGTAGATGGAAATCAGTAGCTTTTCTTAAATACATAAGGATCATGTAACTTGGTTCACAACAACATTCCCATGCCTACTAGGACTACAGACATCTACCCATCGATGCCGGGGGGGGGGGGATATTTGGACATGTGTATAGTCAATTTAAAATCCAAAACTAACCAACCCAAAGCATTGCAGGTCTAAAAGTATGGATCATAGGATCATCCATTCCTTTTTGGGCAGGGGAAGCAGCCAAACACTGCCCAGGGGGACAAAGCCTGAACCTCCCTGCCACACTGCTATGGAGATCACGCAGGGGGATGCACTGGCAGGAATTAGACCCACAAATCCTACAGCTCATCAAGCATGAAGTACCCCCAAATTACTTAGTAATTCATCTAGGATCCAACGATTTGGTAACTCCAAACTTAACTAGCAAAAAATTCATACAAGAGATTCAATGCAGCTTCCTGCGATATAATGCTCTTCTCCCAAATACTAAACTGGTGTGGTCACACATTCTACCATGCCGTTATTGGCATGGAGCTCCATTGAACAGTGGAAAAAAGATAGACAAGAAACGTAAAAGAATTAACAAAAATATCTCAAAATTTGTCGCAGAAATGGGTGGGAGTGTAATTTCACATGCAAACATATCCGTTGCTAATCCGGAATTGTTTAGATTTGATGGTACACACCTCTCTGAGCTTGGCAACAGAACTTTCTTAAATAACATAAAAAGTGGATTGTGGTCCCTCATTCAAGGGAAGGGAAAAGTATCCCTTAATGTAAAGTAATGGAGGAACATCATATCGATGTCTGTGGCGGGTCCGGAGGGATGAGTGGGAGGGTTGCGAACACATCTGGCTCGTTGTTTCCCTGCCCAGCCATCAGACAAGTTGGTGGGCACATTGTTGGGTAGACAGGTTGTCTACAAAGTATCCAACCTATGGCAATGTGTAATAAAAGTCAAGTAAAAAGTCAAGTAAAAAGTTTTCGATTGGGGTCGTAGCCAAGTCTGCAGGCCTGGGGCCCCCTCCACCTCTTGTAACAGGAGGGGAGGCTTAGTGCTGGAGTACTTGGGTGTAAAAGTACTGCTGACCAGAAGCAATCTCCGGAAGCAGGGTATACAGATGTGCTCGCAAATCTCTCGGTCCCTAATGTCTAGTACCTAAATTTGGGATCTCGGGCATCTGTGACCAACACAGGGCCACTGGTTTTGCCCGGTACTTATTAGTCGGTATGCCAGCTATCCCTCTTGGACCCTATTTTTTGATTGTACATTTATGCAATGCGGCCATTTAATGCCAATTCCCGTATGTCCATCACAGTTATGAGTAATGCAAGATTGTATATGTTTTTGTTCAAGTCTTTAATAAATGTAATGAAAATTATGCAGCTGTTGTCTATTGTAAAGCTGGCAACAAGGAAAGGTCATGATGACCGTATGTGTGAAAAGAATCAAGTAACAAGGCATGTCAGGTCCTGCGGGGCAGTGATTACCTGACTGTTCAATTAACTTTCATATATTGTTTTTTTTTAAAAGAAACGGAGAATCTCGAACCTTCAAATGTTTCCAAGTCTGGTTTGAAAAGGCGGATATAAGTTTTATTTTAAATTAAGTGAATATGTATCGAAGAACTGTGCTTGCCCCAGGGCGGTTGCACTGTCAACATAATACTTCTTCCAATACAACAGGCAATTTAAATTCAAAATAATTCTGATGAATTTCAAACATTGCTTAGTGCTTCCCAGTACTTTCAGTACTTTGATTAGAGATAGTTTTGTTTATATCATCCTGGAAAAGAGATAAAATAAATGTCAGTTTTTATATAGCTATTTCAACAAATGCTAACTAACATCAAATCTACACATTCACAAAACTCATATCAAAATCAGGTGATGACATTTACATAATATTGAAGTGAATTCGAGGTCATGATATTTCTAAATACTATCACAAATACAATATTAATGCTATATTGCTAAGTTACTCAATTGTGATACATGTACTATAAATAAATATCTGAAATGGGGAAACCCTGCCAGGTGTCTTTATATTTCAGAATTGGACTTTTTTGGATGGTTTGGTGGGGGATAATCATATTTGTTTAGTAACAATAATAAAGATTTGATCGATTAAATCAGGGAAGATTTTTGGGGGGGGGGGGAGATTTTGTCAGTTGAACAAAAGAATATGGCATTACTCTCTTTACCAGACAACAAATGACAAAAATTAAATTATGTTTCATTTTCAAAATGAAGTTTCTTTAACTTTATACATGTCATGAATTTATTTACTTTATAATGGGTGTGAAGTGAGCGAAAATATTTGCAAAGAAAACATCCAGGATTTCCCCAATAGAATAGAAACACAGGAAGGATTAAAGAAACATTTACTAAATCATATAAATTAATACATAAATAATGGAATATTTATAAATGTATCAAAAGTGCTGAAAATAACAAAATTATTCACATAGATGGAATTGCTACTACATTCAGTATAAAAACATAAATCACATTACAATACATGGGTGAGTTCACTATACCTCCAGCTCAAATTAAAATGGTTTACTAAAGCATCGTGTTTTGCAAATATTTAAAGCAAATTATCATATAGTGATTTTTAATTGCATTTTTTCCCTTTAAAATATAGTATTTCTGATTTGCAGAAAATTGAATGAAAAATTGAAAACTAATTTTCATTAATTTAAAAATCCAAGTAAGTAGTAAGTCATCTAGCTTTTATAAATGTTTATGCATCATTCTTTTAATATGACAGTCTTAATCATTGATACATGTATATCAGAAAAGAAAAACTAAATAAGAGTATTTAAATACATTTTTTATGTTAGAAAACAATTTAGAAGTAGAATTTACTAATTGCTATAATACACAGCATTGGTTATTTAGATATATATGCAGCTTAGAATAGAATGGAAATTTTAATCTACGTAATTCCACAAAGTCAGCACAGAAGTTAGTTGGCTCTAATTAAGTAGAACTGGCAGGGTAGTATGCTACACATATTTTTTTTTCTGGGTCACCAGAAATAATTAATGCAATAGATAGCAACAAAAACCAGGTTTTATTTTAGATATTAAAAACATTTATTTTGTAATTTGGTTTTTCTACAATTAATTTATTGCCCTTTGATTGAGTTCTGTATAGTTTTTATCTTTAAAGACTCTTGCAATGTTAGATCAATGCGCAGACATTTAATTTTTTTTAATTTTGCCCCAGTAACTGCCCTGTCCATTTTTCATGTCCTCTTCCAAATGTCTTGATTTTTTTTTCTTCAACAGCTGTTAAATCAATCTTAATTCAAGTTGAACTTTGATTTCCCCTCTTTTCAAACAATCTGAGCAGTTCTTGGGGCAAATATATCATTTTTTGAGTTCCAAACATATATATCGTTTAGAATATATTTTTTTTTAGGTTTAAGCCATGAAGCCCGAACTCACATGACTACTATTGTTTCTATGACAACCATCTGCGGTTGCATTCTGGACGTCCCGCTTAATCAGGTATGCTTCAAAAAAATCTCGGCCAAATCGGCACTGGTACATCTGTGTATATATATTCATATGTTAGAATTTCCTGTATTCTGTTACCCCTTATCATTGTAGATGCATGCATTTACATTTTTTGCTTGTCAAATATGCATACATGCATTAAATAATAATAATTATAAATGTGCACATTAGTATGTACTGAATGAAATAATGCACTGAATAACGGGTATTTGGTTTTTAAATAAAAATAATTTATTATCCATCTTATCAAGTCCAGATTTCAGATCAAGATAGTACATTTAAGGTTAAATGCCTACGATTCATCTCACTTAACTGAAAAATAGATTTCTTTTTAAGACCTTCTTTGTGCATCTAACCTAACTGTCTAATAATAGTATTGTGCTGATAATAACTGATCTCAGCTAAATTCAATTTCCAAATCACATGAACTGTTTTCGTATACCATCAATATATTCTCTTATGAATTCAAACCTCTGAATGACACACATTACATTATTTCTTTGTCATTTACAGTACTTGTGAACTTATAAGTTTCTCCAACATTTATACACCACTGGATATTTCAAAGTAAGTTGGAAGTCCCAACCACTTTAACCTCAACCCCTGGATATCTAAGCTTTTAAATTATTTCTCTGTCCCACTGATTTTGACATAATAAGGATTGACTGTATACTTATGTATTCTTGGCTAACATAACAGTATATTCAATACACTATGATACAACATTCCTGTTAACAACACGGTAAAGACACTGTTCCATTGTCTGAGCCCACCACATCTTATCATGCTTCCTAACACTGACTGAAGAGTTCCACTAAAAAGGGGAGATAACTTACATCACTCTCTCCTCCAGAGAAGCCATTAGTGGTAGCTTTAGGTGAGGTTGGGGACCAGACTTTCTTAATGGTGCTTTGTTCTGGGGGACTGATAGAATCTGCAGAGTCCACGCCATTGGGCTTATTATCACTGTAAGAGAAAATATATACAGTAAAACGTGTATAACAAAGTGCCAGGGACGGACGTTTCTGTTTCACTATGAACATAATTTGTTATATCTTTTAAGTTTACAATATATTATAAATCCACAGGGAATGGAAATCACTTTGCTGTAAGCATCAGTTCATTATAAGTGTCTTTGCTATTAAGCATGTTTTACTGTACTTGCATATCCTTAAGCTAAAAGTACTGTAAATCACTTTTTATTTGCCAATTTATTTGGGGGGGGGGGGGGGGGGGCATATCAACATGAGATCATCTGATCGCCAAATTTTCACTCTTTCCTAAATTTGTTTTATCAAAGATTTTATGTGTGAATTTCAAAAAATTGTGAAGATTTAAGTTTCACTTCTAAATACCAAATAACCATTTTGTGAAAATAAGGGGTCACAAAAATAAGGTGATTTACATAATATAATGCTTACATAAACTTTACTTAATGTAAAAGCAAAACTCTGCTGCCTGAGAGAAATTTTTAAGAGCAACAAGATATGTTTGTAAAACACAAATACCCCCATATGGCAGCTAATGGTGAAGGTTAAAGTTTCTCAAATGCAAGTCAAAATCCAGGCCAAAAGATAAAAAATGTTGGTACCCAAAGAAAGGTCTTGTCTCGAGGAATATACCTGTGAAATTTGAAAGACCTAGCTGCAACTGTTCAAAAGTTATGGCGTAGGTTAAAGTTTTTTAAAAGTAACTAAAACATCAAGGTCAAGGTCAAAGTGGTTGGTATCCACTTGTCTTGTCACAAGGATTACATATGTGAAGTATGAAAGCCCTAGCACCAACCATTCAAAAGTTATGACCAAGGTTAAGTTTTACGAAAGTAGGTCAAACTCCTATGGCAAGGTCAAAGGATCAAAGTGGTTTGTATCCAAAGGAAGGTGATGTCACAAGGATGACATATGTGAAGTATGAAATCTCTAGCATCAACCATTCAAAAGTTATGGCCAAGGTTAAAGTTTTTCAAAAGAGGGTCAAACTCCTAGGTCAAGGTCAAAAGGCCAAAGTGGTTGGTATCCTAAAAAAGGTCTTGTCACAAGGATTACATATGTGAAGTATGAAAGCCCTAGCTCCAACTATTCAAAAGTTATGGCCAAGGTTAAAGTTTTTCAAAAGTAGGTCAAACTCCTAGGTCAAGATCAAAGGGTCAAAAAGGTTAATATCCAGAGCAAGGTCTTGTCACAAGGAATACACATGTGAAGTTTGAAACCCCAAGCAGCAACTGTTCAAAAGTTATGGACAAATAAAAGTTTTTCAAAAGTAGGTCAAACTCCAAGGTCAAAGTCAAAAGGTCAAAGTTGTTGGTATCCAAAGGAAGGCCTTGTCACAAAGAATACACATGTGAAATATGAAAGTCATAGCTCCAACCAATCAAAAGTTATGGGCAAGGTTAAAGTTGACAACAAACAGACAGACAAACAGAAAAACAGACAGACAGGACAAAAACAATATACCCCTGGGATCTTTCGATCCGGGGGCATAAAAATAATTTGAATTTTGTACATTATTTTTATGCAAATTACTTGATTGAGACAAATTCCTCATTGGTGCTGAGCTGTTTGATGTTCCGCAGTGAAGCTGGGATATTCCTGTGATTTGTCACACCAGCAGTTTCTCCTGCGTAGGGCTGAGTGGAGACACTCCCCTCTGGGCGGGGCCTGTTTACTGCTTTGTATGTTGTGATGGTCGGAGCCTGAGATAAACTGCTGTCCTGGAAAATGGGGGGAAAAAGGATAAAAAGTGTACATTTCCTTTACTAAAAGAAAACTATGAATTACAGTCCTTGGCTTTTTCAAAACTGCTCATGTTTTGATTTGTATACCTATATTCATCATTTAGTTCAGACCATTGACAATGGAGTCATAATCTACTATCAAAGATAGGCAACAGAGGGGCTGGCTTTGTTATTCAAAATGATTTACAATTAAGTTTTAGTAAATGTAAAATAATGAAAGAGGAATAATCAAATTTAAGAGACTATTTTCCTTTTCTCAAGACAAAGAAATCAATAAAAATTCATATCACTGAAACACAGATAAATTATGTATACTGTAACAGTTGATTAATCTTCACAGCAAACAGTATGGTTATGTCTGTATGGTATTTCTCTGATGCAGATAATAATTTAAGGTGTCTTTCACCATTCTATCACTAGATACCTTGTTCTGGGCTGCTTTGGCTGTGGTTACTTTGGGTGAGTTTGTTACATGTCCATCCTGCAAAATCATAAACAAATACAAGAATCTGATACATACTATGTATACTTAAGTCAGTGCATGTTAGCTTATTCAAGAAAGAGAGAATACAGATCAAAACTTTCACACCACTGTGTTCAGCAGATCCACCCCTGAGATTTATCATTAGATCTACCCCTGAGGCAAATTACCAGCAGATCCACCATCTAAACCTTGCCAGCAGATTCACCACCTAAGACTTACATGTGTGATTCTCAAGTCTGTTCAGAGATCCACCCCTGAGACTTATAAACAGATCCACACCCAACTTATAAACAGATCCACCCCTCAGACCTACCAGCAGATCCACCCCTGAGACTAACCAGCAGATCCACCCCTGAGATTTATCATCAGGTCTACCCCTGTGGCAAATTACCAGCAGATCCACCATCTAAACCTTGCCAGCAGATTCACCACCTGAGACTTACATGACTGTGTGATTCTCAATTCTGTTCAGAGATCCACCCCTGAGACTTATAAACAGATCCGCCCCTAAGTCTTATAAACAGATCCACCCCTGAGACTTATAAACAGATCCACGCCAAGACTTATAAACAGATCCACCCCTCAGACCTACCAGCAGATCCACCCCTGAGACTTACCAGCAGATGCACCCCTTAGACTTACCAGCATAGACATAAGTATGGGTCCCCGGGTCTGTCCTGAGATCCACTCATCAGCTGATAGGGAGGGAATAAGACTAGCTGTGGGGGGATAAATGTCTTCATGGAAAACAGAGGACTGTAACAAAAATAAAAATTGTTACAAGAAAAAGAACTTGTTTCTTACAATACATACCTAAAAAAATAATCATAGAACTCTAAATTTATTACATGTATGCATATGATATTTGGTGGAAATTGATTTTTAACAGATTAGTAGATTTGATTTAGCACATTTCTGAATGGACTAGACATACCAAATATATGCACAAGCTATTTAGCGATGTATTTGTTTTAGCTGAAGATGCTTTCTGTCAGAGGTGCTAAACAGGATACACAACCAAATGTAATGCGTTTACAGTATTTTTTTTTACTTTATATGCATTCAAAAAAATTAAATTAACTTATTTTATTCACACCATGAACATCTGATGACTTTATTTCAACCAAGTATTCTCAAAACTGTTTTTTGAAATCCATTTTTTTTTTTTGCAGAAATTTCTTATTCAGAATCTGTAGATTTTAACTTGACAATGTGTCTCATTACGTCTGATGATCCCGGCCCATCAACTTGACTTTAAAGAATATTTACCTTTCTAGGTACAATCATGGATAGAGGTTCTGTGAGGTTCTCTGTAGGTACACAGTTATAATTATATCTATATTTACCTTTCTAGGTACAATCATGGATAGAGGTTCTGTGAGGTTCTCTGTAGGTACACAGTTATAATTACATCTATACCGTATATACTCGCCTATAAGTCAGTCCGCCTATAAGTCGGTTGTATTTTTTAGGCTTACTTTAGAGGGACTAACCCACTAAAATACCAATCATTTTATAACTCGCGTATAAGTCAGATAAAGAGTTTTGGACCAAAGTTTAACTCCAAAAAAACCGACTTATAGGCGAGTATATACGGTATTTACCTTTCTAGGTACAATCATGGATAAAGGCTCTATGAGGTTCTTTGAGGCGTGGAGCTTGTAGAACCTCATTACTTCACACTTCTCTGTGTTACAGCCTCGCTTTGGCATCACACCTACAAATAAATAAAACACATATTTTCATCAGTGTACTCATTCCTCCATGGCACCTGATCCCACCTCTGAAGTTTTAGAGGTCAGTGTTTGCTCTGCTCTTATTTTGCAATGTTTAATGGACTTTTGAGCTTGAATACTGTTTGTTATCTCCATATATTTCATTTCATGAAAAATATGTAAATTACAGTTACGGTTGTAATGAACTCTGACAGGATGAAACTTGGTTAGAAGGAAAAAAGGGAACAATATTGAAATCCTAATAACTGCCATACTCTGACTTTAACTGATCTAAAAATCTTTATATCTCTATTTCTAATATGTACATGTAATATCAAAGTGCATATACATAGCATTAGGTTAAGTATTAAGGGCTTACCAAATCCTCTTTGGGGAAAAGATGTGATGAAAGAGTTGAGATAATGTGTGTATGGGTCCTCATCGTCTATCTCAAAGTAACGAATATTGCTATCCCCCTGTAAAACAATGAAAAATGTCTCTCAAAATTTACAAAAGAAATGTAGAAATTAAATGTTTAAAAAATAAATTTAGAACATGAAAATGAAATACTGTTGAAATGTACATGTATACCTCAAATATCAAGTGATTCAGCTTTCCTGTTCTTATTCATGAATGCATGTACAAATCTAAGATTTCTCAAACTCTTAAATAATAAGCCAGGGTTCGCCACTAACTTTTTAAGGCTTTAGTCCAGCCGTACTAGTGCTTCATCACTTTTACTAGTCCGCACGCGATTTTATTAGTCAGTCAAAAAAAAAAAAGAAAAAAAGAAACATCAATGGTTTTTAACATTAATTTAACGTGACAATTAATATACATATAATTTTTGGTAATAAACAAAGTATTTACGTGAAATATATTATTCCACTGATTCATTGAAATCTCGCAATCAGCAAGTACGATCGTGTTCCCGATCTCGGTTTTTTTTTTGGTCTTTACATTACATCCAAAACGTCCAACATCTTTCTTAAAAGTGTCATACTAAATCATGATCGCTAAAACATTATACTTCATATCGATCAGTCAAAAAATTAATCACTGAATTGACCTGGCATTGCGTATAACTACCCGCCAAAAGCTAGAAATCTAAAAATACACGCAGGGTTTTCCAGTAAAAGTTGTCGAGAATCAGAGATCGGTAATTTATTCATATTGTTTTTCCAAAATTTTTATTGGTCCTTTCGAACCCTGTAAGCTCTTAATTTCTCAAGCTTTGATATCACAAACACTTTAATAATTCAAACTTTATGATGTTTGAAACTCTGAGACACATGAAACCTTTAGATATCTTAAACTCTTAGATGTCTCAAATTCTTAGATATCTCAAACTCCTATATATCTCAATTAAACTCTTACGTATCTCAAACCCTTACATCTCATTTTTTTAGCATTCCTAACATATAGAAATATAGGGGTTTGCCTTTATCATGAACACAATTCAGTGTTCATTCTCTGTCTGTTCTAGGTACAATGATTTTGGAATGCATCAAGAAAATAATACATTGTTGATTCTAATGTGTACATACTTTGCCTGCTATAGTTACATAATTTTGGTAAGTTGTACATACTTTGCCTGCTAGTTACATAATTTTGGTAAGTTGTACATACTCTGCCTGCTAGGTACATAATTTTGGTAAGTTGTACATACTTTGCCTGCGAGGTACATGATTTTGGTGTCTTGGTCGTAGTAGGGCAGGATTATACTACTGGAGTTATCCATTCCCTCTGTCCTCATAGGACAAGATAAGTTTTTCTGTCACAAAAGAAATATATGCAATGCTTTATTACAAAATACCCTTACATGTATTTATAAAAGTATCCATTACAAAAACTTATCAAAACTTATTGTAAAATACACATGAATATGAGCAAATCTTATGCTAATGTGGTAGGCTTAATATTTTTATCTTCTATATGTATGAAGTATGTATTAATCATGTATGAATTAAGTAACATTGAATATGCTGATCCTATCCATACTGTACTGAGGTTGTGTACCAAGCTTCCCTAGAGTTGTTTCCCTTTCATTTCAGTGAAATATTTTACTGCTAAATGTGACATGACAAAAAAATATATGGTGGATCAATTAAAAATGAAATGGCTATGGAAAACATATCATCTATAATTCATTCATGAATTTCAAATTAATAACAAAGTTATTGACAGATCTGTTCAATACGGGTGATATTTTTTTTTTTTGTAATGACTAATTATAGTAAAATATTCACATTTTACAGGTGCAATAATACTGTCCTCTGAGAAATACTACTGCATTAATTTGAGCTCTATAAAGGTTTCATGGGCATTGTAAATTTTGTTGTTTCGAAAGTAACCATATTCAATATATAGTCATATAAAAATTTTGTATAGGATTTATTTCAATTTGTTGATAATTGTTAACAATGAAATAAACAAAATACCCAATGAATATTTCTGGTTTTGGAGTAATAAATTTCATATAAATATCTAAAATCAGTTCTCTGATAAACTTACAATGTCCCACACAGCGATTTCTCTGTCACAATATCTGCTGTGGTAGGACGTGAAAACTCGCCCTGAGTCACCGAGATACACAGCCTTCCATGCTCGCGAGCCGAGATTGTCCAGAGTAGGAGTCTCCTGAATAATAAATGAAATATTTTGAAAATTTAATGTAATTAATAGAAAATTTAAAGTAACAGAAAAACTTGTGGTCAACAAAACTATATTCTCTGAATGGAATATATTTGAATTTGTTCAATAATTGATTAAATCAATAAATGTCTCCTTAGTTTTACGAGAAAGCTAGATTACATCACATTAAAGATATGTGAACATGAAAACTTGATCTCTTAAATTCAAATTTACTGATGTCTCAAATTAACAAATCACCTGTTAGATTATTAAACCATGATCTAAGACATATTGACCCACATTTCCCAGAATTATTGTCAAAATAAAGTATTATTAAATACATGTACTTACAGCTGCAACCCGGGCCATTCTTGGGTCAATGACCCGTAACTTTTTGTCTTTACAGGACGTGGCGAACAGACTTCCTTCCTGGTTCCAGGACATGGAGAAAATCGTGTTCTCATGGCAACTGATCACGTTCACAGGCTCTGCTTGTTCAACATTCCACAAAACACACTAAAATTTGACAAACTACAAGATGTATATTACTCATTTACAAAAAAAAATTACTTGAGTGTTGTCAGTATGTTTAAAGTATATATTTTCAAAGTACAGGAGTTTTACATTAATTCATTACAGTCATAGTATACTTCTCCATTTATTATATAATTATATAGGTTTCCTGTTGCAGCAAGTAGTTCAAATTAATTAAAATGACAAGTAATTTAACATATCAATCTTAATTTCTTATATGTTGTACACTGTATATGCTAATACTGAGTACCATAATGAAAACAAGAGGCCCATGGGCCACATCGCTCACCTGAGTAGCTTTGGCAATGCTGTTCTTTACCAGATTTCCCCCTTGTAATACCTATTGTGGCCCCGCCCAACCCCCGGGGGTCATGATTTGAACAATTTAGAATCTTTACTACCCCAGGATGCTTCCACATAAGTTTCAACTTTTCTGGCCCAGTGGTTCTTGAGAAGAAGATTTTTAAAGATTTTTCTAACATATTTCAATGTAAAACTTGGGATTCCCTATTGTGGCCCCACCCTACTCCCGGGAGTCATGATTTGAACAATTCAGAATCTACACTCCCAGAGGATGCTTCCACATAAGCTTCAGCTTTTCTGGCCGGGGATAGGGCGGGTCCACAATAGGGAATCCAAGTTTTACATTGAAATATATAGGAAAAATCTTTAAAAATCTTCTTCTGATTTTTAAAGATTTTTCCTATATATTTCAATGTAAAACTTGGATTCCCTATTGTGGACCTGCCCTATCCCCTGGAGTCCTGGTTTGAATAATTTAGAATCTACACTACTCCAGGATGCTTCCACATAAGCTTCAGCTTTTCTGGCCTAGTGGTTCTTGAGAAGAAGATTTGTAAAGATTTTTCTAACATATTTCAATGTAAAACTTGGATTCCCTATTGTGGCCCCGCCCTACCCAAGGGGGGTCATGATTTGAACAATTAAGAATCTACACTATCCCAGAATGCTTCCACATAAGTTTCAGCTTTTCTGGCCTAGTTGTTCTTCAGAAGAAGATTATTAAAGATTTTTCCTATATATTTCAATGTAAAACTTGGATTCCCTATTGTGGCCCCGCCTTACCCCTGGGGGTCATGATTTGAACAATTTAGAATCTACACTATCCCAGAATGCTTCCACTTAAGTTTCAGCTTCTCTGGCCCAGTGGTTCTTGAGAAGAAGATTTTTTAATGACCCCTCCATATTTTTGTCTTTTCCTGATTATCTCCCCTTGTAAGGGGATTTGGCCCTTTATTGTAACAATTTAAACTCCCATTCACCCAAGTAAACTCTGTACCAAGTTTGGTTACAATTGGCCCAGTGGTTCTTGAGAAGAAGTTGAAAATGTGAAAAGTTTACAGACGGACGGAAGGACAGACAGCTAGACAGACGGACGATGGACAATGGGTGATCAGAAAAGCTCACTTGAGCTTTCAGCTCAGGTGAGCTAAAAAATAAACATCACAAAAATACTTTTGAGCAATCTGTAATTTTTCTCATTCTCTATTTAAATAAGAAGATATCTTTGTGTGTATTCCATTATGTTACAGGGTTTAACTGTTTTTAAGTAATTAAATTAAATATTAGTTTAGGTAACAAATTCTGATGAAATTTAAACATATCTTGACAACTAAATTCTTATACTTTGAACTTGTAATGAATAAATACTTGTGTATGAAGTCTAGTTTTGTGGTTATTGGAACATACTGAAAAAAAATCTTAATTGACAGGAAAGATTTCAAAGTTCACTGTGCATATTTCATCTTTTTTGAACTAATACTCAATCATAAAAATAAACCTGATGCACAGCAACAAAAATTTGGCCCTTTATCCATCAAAAACCAGGGAAATTTCAATGACATAGGAAAGCATGTTCCTGGACTGTCATTGATTATAAAAGCCTAAGAAATGACTGATATTCATTAACCATTCATCATTATAAAGCTTCAACATGGAACATACATCAATAATTCAATGCACTGGGTCAAATGAGAAATCTTGTTTATCTACTTATATTTGGTATATCTTGTTTAGTTTGAACTCTAGGACTTTAATGTACTTTGTCAAATTCTCATCATGAGGTATCTTGTGTATCTATTTATTTTTGGAAAAGTCATGTTTTGGACTCTTAAGACTTTCCAGTTACTGTGAAGTCACCAATTTCTGTGGGTGTTTAATTTTGGTATTATTTTCAAGGTTTGAAAAGACCCACAAACTCTTGCCCTCATTAAAATGTAAAATTTCATATGTGATAGCTACTCAACACTATTCATCCACAAAATCAATCATTAAACTTTTTCAATCATGATACACAACCCTAGCCCTAATATTAGCAATAACTGTTGAAGGGGAATTCAACTCTGTGATTGACTACCATGTAAAAGTTCTCTGACTGCATGCATGGTTACTTTGTATATGCTCTCTGATGGGCTACATTATGAAAGCTCTCTGATAAGTTACCTTATATTAGCTCTCTGATTGGTTACCTTGTATTAGCTCTCTGATTGGTTACTTATATTACCTTGTATTAGCTCTCTGATTGGTTACCTTGTATAAGCTCTCTGACTGGTTACCTTGTATTATAGCTCTCTGATTGGTTACCTTGTATTAGCTCTCTGATTAGCTACCTTGTATAAGCTCTCTGATTGGTTACCTTGTACAAGCTCTCTGATTGGTTACCTTTTATTAGCTCTCTGATTGGTTACCTTGTATAAAGCTCTCTGATTGGTTACTTTGCATTAGCTCTCTGATTGGTTACCTTGTATAAGCTTTCTGATTGTTTACCTTGTATAAGCTCTCTGATTGGTTACCTTGTATTAGCACTCTGATTAGTTACCTTGTATTAGCTCTCTGATTAGTTACCTTGTATAAGCTCTCTGATTAGTTACTTTGTATTAGCTCTCTGATTGGTTACCTTCTATTAGCTCTCTGATTAGTTACCTTGTATAAGCTCTCTGATTGGTTACCTTCTATTATCTCCCTGATTGGTAACCTTGTATAAAGCTCTCTGATTAGTTACCTTGTATAAGCTCTCTGATTGGTTACCTTATATTAGCTCTCCGATTGGTAACCTTGTATAAAGCACTCTGATTGGTTACCTTGTATAAAGCTCTCTCATTGTTTACCTTGTATAAGCTCTCTGATTGGTTATCTTGTATAAACTCTCTGATTGGTTACCTTGTAGTCAAAGCCAGCACTGAGCAGTATATTTTCAGCTGTAGGATGCCACTCAATGTACCCCACCCGCCTCTTGTGGCCATGGAGATCCACCAGCCATTCTGTTAAGTTTGTCTTCAAACCATCCTCTGGAATGCTCCATAATTTAACCTACAAGACAGTAGAAACATGACTGAAATATTTTCACTGTTACTGAGAATTGATTGATCATATCCAACATCTTGGTGGCTCAAATTCTCATTATTTCTAAAATTGTTCACATACAATGTATAAGGGTCAATCTTTGCATTAGAAAAATATAACATGCAACATCTCATTCAGTATCAACAGCAGTATATGCATCATACATGTATCAATTTTTGAAATATACTGACAAATACATTGTAACAGGAAGCAATTTCAGTTTAGGGGGGCACAGCCAAACATTTTCAGAAGGGGGGGGGGGGGGGGCACCACTAAGCACAAAAATTAATTGACTACCAAAATATATAGGAGGTCATTAGACATTATTATTGAGGGGGCACTAGCATAATGTAGCTACATGTATGTTTTCAACATTTCAAGCAAGGGGTATAAAAATGTTGTGTATAAACAGATGATTACAACAGTAACTCACTGTACAGTCCTCTGATGAGCTGGCTATAATGTTATCATTAAATGGGTTGAATTTGACATCCAGCACCACCCCAGCATGTCCACAGATGTGTGGCGTCTTGGGGTCCACTCGACCACTCTACAAAATACAAACTTCTCCCTTTATCACAATGCACAAAATGTAATTACTTGTATGGTGAACAATTTAAGCTCTTAAAATCAAGTTTGTTCAAACTGTTGTTTGATGCTGCATTCAGAATCTTGTAAAGAAAAAACCATTACAAAGTAGCATTTTCCTTAATAAATCCATTATCATGATTAAAAAAGCATTGACTTCAAGCATTAAGCTTCAATATTGATTCTATGTTTTTACCAAAATATTATCAACAAATGGCATTCTTTATTTAAAACAGTCATTAACCTGCCTAGAGGAAACCCAATCCCTCTGAGAAAAAAAAATATTATAATAGTACAACAATTAACCTTCAATTCTTATAACTAAGATATATATGTCCCTGACTGTAAAGTATGTAATCATTGATGACTCAAATTGCAACCAGGTCAAAGGTCACTTACTGATTTTAATGGAATGCAAAGAAAAGATCCACCTCCACCGGTTTCTGTGACAACAGCAAGGAACTTGGGATTGACGGCACAGAAATTACTGTCGTGGGTGTTTCTCGTGATTTTAACATTTTCGTAACACAGTTCTTTCTTTGGAATGGAGCCATAGATGTGACGGTATTTGGAAGAACGGATCTTAAATGCCATCTGAAAAATAACAACAAACTTTCTTAGTTTCTTTAGTATCAGTTTCCTCTTGAAGTAATTCTGTATTATAAATTCTTAATTATTATCTCTGTATCATCAAGTGTTTGAGCTCACAACTTTAAATTTATATTGTCCATCCACCTTGCCACTCTTTCACTCTCTGAACCAAGATTTTTAAAACCACAAATCAATCTTTTCATGTTTTGATTCCTAAAGCAAGCACTTTAATATATGTGTTATATTTTAGTCATAACTGATACTTCAAGCTTAAACATCTTAAAAACTCCAAGCAACACTAACAACATACAGTATATGCTTCAGTCTTTTCAATCATGCTTAATATTATACGACTGCATCAGCATTAGCATGTTTCGTATCAGAATTGTATTTGAATGACAGTTCACCTATAAGTTATATTCCTTGATCAGTTTTCTAGAAAGCTTAACCTGGATATAACTGTTGTAAAACTTCACTATATTTAAATCCATCTTTCTTTTCCTAATTATAACTTCAAGCTTCATCAGAGATTTGAAGTTACTCCAATAATTTGTCATTCATTGTCATTTACAAGGTACATGCTGTATACAGAAATACATACACTTAGATTATTGAAATTTGATCACTGATAATGCTTATTTATCGAGATTTCTTTACAATCATATATCTTTTGATGGTTTGTATAAATTATCTTTTCACTATCTATAATAAATATTCCTAATGTGTCACTCTTTACATTTAAGCTAAATTATAATCAACATTTTATATAGCCATACATAATTACAAATTATTGTTTATTATACATTTATTCACAATTCATATTAATTAAAACTTTGTCTGACACATACATGTATACGACTAAATTATAAACTAAAAAGGCAACTGGTGCAATTTAATTAGCCAGATCATAAAAACGTCAGGAAGATTTTGGAGCTATTAAGCATTGTCAAAGATTCAAAACAGATCTGTATCATAATGAATTTAAATCCATAAAAAGATTTTTTTTTTGTTCACTATGAATCAGGAAGTTTACAACACATGTATTGAGACCTATATGACATGAACAGGTAAATTAAACAATGCATTCATTTCCCATGCTTTAAGACTGGAAGCAGAAACCTATCACAACATTTATTAGACAAGTTCAATTGAACTTAAAATTCTCCAAGACTATGACAAGCAGAAGCAAAAATATTTTCTTTTAAAAATATTGTCTTAAGACCTTTCTGGCAATGATGCATACAACATATATCATGCATCTCTGTCATAACCACACATTAATTAAAGAGAAAAAAAATTAATTAAAAAGCCTGCATATCGTTAATTATGTCTACCTGTCTATTATCGGTGTTAGGACTAACGGGACAGGAACTGGTATCCATGACGATTCACAACTAGAATAATCCCAACAAAGAAGAATTTAAATCCAATAGCGATTGATTTTAAAACCACCGGCAGAAACAATTTTGTTAATTCAGTGACATAACATTTTATTTTGAAAATCCATATAAAATCTACATATTAAAGTTGAGAAGAAAATTTGCACGCCACAGCACAGGATCAAAGGATCTGTATGTTAATTCTAATCCAAGCCACTAAAATTCATCTTTTTCTCTCTGTAAATCAAAGGTGTTTGGGTCCAATTAAATTTGTCAAACCCTTATCCGAAACACAATGAAATCCATGAACAATGTGTCACAGTGTTTATTTAGCTCCAATATTGCATGCACTTAAGTCTGTCATGATGAACATTTCCATGAATCCGATTTTCAAATCTCAACTTCCGCAGTAATGAATTCCTTAGTCCAAATTCTAGAGTTTAATTTTCAAACACTGAGGGGGGGAAAAATGCTTAAATAAATGAGTGCTTCCTTATGCAATAACTGAAAGAATTGTCCTAAACAATTAAGTTTTCACACTTCCTGTAACATGGTAGCATGGAGTTACGACATACGTAATTGCTCGTCTTCATGCATCAAGGTTTGTATCTCATTATGCTGTGTTATGACAGGTGAAAAAAAAAAGACTGACAAAGATTGACAAACCAAATACATACAGCCCTGATTGTCTATCTATCACAACTGATCGAAATCACCGACAACAAACACAAGGAACTGAGGATCCCCCGTTTATAAAAATTATATCTCTATGACGAGGAAACTATGTCAGATAGTTAGAGATAATGATATAATGAACATTTTCAAGCACTTTATAAAGTATTTCAATTGCATTCACTTAAAAGCACTAAATTTGGTAAGTGCATCTCAATGGATTTATGCATTCAAAGTCTATATATGCCCCTTCCACAATTTAGCACAACTTATAAGTGGACTAAGTGTTTGGTACAACACTACCTGGTACTTTTAACTGGTGTCTCCATTGAGTTTATATAAGAGAGGATGAGCAGGATATATTTAGCTCACCTGAAATGCTACATGTGACTCTAGAAGAAAAATGAACATTTGACCTTGACACACACCCCCCTTCCCAACCTTTATTACAATAGCATAATTGATCTAAATTCGACAAAAATTATGACAAAATATTATTGATTATCATTGATGGAAGCTTTAATTAGAAAAATCTTTTTTTTCCCCAGTTTTATCTGAAATACATCTTTGCATAAATCTTGTGTTGTTACAGTTTCATTGTGGCAAGGCTTTGGAGGTTGGTTGGTTTGTGTGTGTGTGTGTGTTTGGGGGGGGGGGGGGGGGGGGGGGTTGGCATGTTGAAAAAAAAATAGAATATTAACTGTTGTCATAACTTTTCCACACAAAAAGGCTAAGGGAGATATTTTTCCAAATATTGCCTTGTAATATAAGCACTAAGGTACTTTTAGTGTTTTATTAAAATGTACCTTCTAGAATAGTCATATCATATAAATTTCCTGATAATCCACCATTACAAAAGATCTATATTGGTGTAATCTTACACAGGGAAAATAAACAAACAGTATTTAAGTGAGATGGAAAATGGAACAAACCGAAAACAAAGCCTTTAGCTCATAAGAATTAAACCTCCATTAAGGTGCTAAATCTTCAATTCTTTATTCAAACACAATTTTCTCATGTACAATTTAAAATAGTTGAATGACAGTCTTGTAGTCAATAGGTCTAACAGATTATATATTAAGTCAATACCACAGAGATCAGTGGAAAGATTTGTCTTAATGTATTGAATCTTTTCTATTTCAATTACGTGTTTAGTATGGTTTAATTTCAGCAATTTATAACTTAAGGGTTGAGAACAATTTTCACTGTGACAAAAAAATTTGTGCGTGTAATTTTTTTGGTCCAGTAACCATGTATTGTTAAAAGCCACAAGTAGTCTCAATTGACTTGATTTTATTACATTAAGTTCATTCAAGAAGATGCTAAATGTTACTTTAAATAGGACATAAACTTTATCTAAGCCATAAAAAGCTAGGTAAATCTTTATACTTTAATGATACAGTAATATCTAAGTCTTAGAATAAGGTTTATTTTGCTGAATCCATTGCTTCATGGAAGGAAAAACTGTGTGTGTGTGTGGGGGGGGGGGGGGGGGATGGGGTGTAAAGGGGGTGGGCTGAGGAAAAGTTACAGGTCTGGAGTGGTAGTTGGAGGGTTATATGTTATTTAATAAGTGTTTTCCATTTGATAACTTACATTGTCCTGGTTGCAGACATAGAGTCCCCTTACATCCTAGACCTGTTTATTAATTAATGACTATAGGTTAATTATGAGCTAAGTAAGTACAGAGGAGTTTAAAGCTCAAGCCTAAATGTTAAATATTTACATCTCCCATTCATTGATCTCAATTCCTCTTCCCCTTCTGACTTAAGTCAGGCTCTGAAATTTGTTCATGATCAGTTCTTGATATAAAATTGTTAGATCAGTTGCTGAAGAGAATGCTACATTATATGTTCTAAAGAAAGTTATAGAATAGCAGACTTCACTTAAAACTTGAACTTAGAGCTGCCTCATCAATGCTAAATTTCCAGTTAAATGCAATAAGGTGATGCACTATTGAAAAGCATTAATTTTCATTTTGGACTGATTTGCTTCTACATCATTTCAAAAGAATAGATTCTGGCTTATTAATAAGCTTAAAATGTTTGATCATGATCCTGGGGACAGCTGCCAGCACCAGGTACTTTTACCAGGCTGAAATAATGTACCAGCCAAAATATTCATTGAAAAAAAATGATAACACATCACTTCCACAAGGCGCATGTACCTCCAATTTTTGACATACATTTCTAAGGCTCTCAAAAGGGCATAATCAGGAAAAACACAGAAAGTGAAGATCTATATATTGACAAAGAACTTCCTTTGCCATCTGAAATTGCATCTGGTGATATACATCTGGGGCAGGGATCTTTTCAACCACAATAAATAATTCCTTCTCCTCAATTCAGGCATCTGTTTGTGGTTTGTTGATAAAATTTCTATTTATTTTCTTTCCATGCTTAAACAAACATTAGCATCCCCATTCAAATGGAAAATCTGTTTATTCAGGCTCATAATGTTAAATTACTTCTAGTATATTATACAATTAAACTGTAAAAGAAACAAGATTACCTATTCATTTGTTAAATCTATCGCTCCTATTTAACAAAATCTTATGGAGATTATAAGTCAACGTGTCCATTAATAGTTTTAAAGTCCTGGCAGATTCAAAAAGTTTCAATGTGACTTAAAGTATTCCAAATATGTCTGTTGGATCAGTTGTATTCAATTCTCTCTTTGTATATATGTATAACACACGTACACAAACTCTGTCAGTGACTTACTTAATTGGGTTTTTACTATTAGTGATCTTTAGACAGGCTTGAAAAACAATGACCTCATTTAATATGTTTAATTAGACAACTTTAAAAAATATATCCTTTCAGTATAGAAGGAGATTAAGAGAGAGAGTGAGCTAGGTCAAATTTTATAATTTGATCTATTCAATCATTGAGTGATTAATGGATTCAACAACTTGCTAGATGGATCCTGTGGTATTATAATTTATAATAT